AGATTTATTTTGAGTTCCGAAATAATTTAGATATAAAATTTCCTTGATTAACTTGCAAAGAACAGAAGGTCATTTTTTTATATCGTTAAACTTAAATTCTGTTTTAGTCCATGTCGTTATCATTAAGTTTTTTGGTTCTTTTTTTTCTCTAACTTTTTTGGTGGAATATAAAAGGTTCTACAAATATGCTACAGCCTTCTGTATTCTGCGCATGTTCATTTCATGGCGCAAGCCTGTCATGTCTACGAAATGAACTTCGGAAATTTTGACATGTTGACATAACCTAATACCTAATGTTTGATGTTTTGTTTTGGTGCAGTCAATCCATGCTGCTACACCTATTAAATTACATATTTATTAAATTAAATAATCATTTTAGATTCCGTCACGTGAAAATATTAATTTAAGTTCATTGAAGTAACTTTGAATCCTTAGATAGTTAGCAATTTGTGTATGTAACCCGTGGATTTTGCTGTCACCCAGAGACCAGTGACTGGTTGTAGCTTTGTGCCCAGGATTCGTCTTTACAGCCATAAACTGATTTAGCCGTGCCAAGAGGAATTTTCCTATGGACTTATGGGGCTGTAAAGATAAGCTGTTTGACTGTTTAACTTTTGTTACTATCTATTTACTGTTAACTCATCATATGCATATGATAAGGTGAATACCTTTGTGATAATTTAATTTTTGATATAATCTAATTCAAAAATATTGGGGAAAAGAAAATACATTACATGTGTTTATGGGTTTTTAAATAGGATATACAGAGTCTGACCAAACTCACTTTTTTTTGATATAATATTTTTGTTAATACAATACATTTGATATAATACAATTTGATATTGAGAGAGGGACATAAATTTAATGTGGTTTTTTTTAAATATGATATGAGTATGGAACAACTCACTTTTTGGATGTAATATATTTAATAGAATTGTAACAGATTTATCAAGTTTGATATCTTTACAATATTCTAATTTGTATCTCATTTTAGTCGTACTAGTTAAATTTAAATTACTACCTTTTTGTGTTAAGACTTTGGCTATGATATGGACTATTCTTGAATTTTTACTAATATTTCATATTTTATTTGGCCAGTGGTAGTAACTATTCGTTTGTTGAGGGGCTATTAGGTCCCATTGTATCTGTACACCATCCACTACCACTGTTATTTGGCTTTGCATTATATGTAAATTGTTTATACACATATACCTATATACATTTTTTATAAATATATAACTCATCATATGCATATGATAAGGTGAATACCTTTGTGATAATTTAATTTTTGATATAATCTAATTCTAAAATATTGGGGAGAAGAAAATACATTACATGTGTTTATTGGGTTTTTTAAATAGGATATACAGAGTCTGACCAAACTCACTTTTTTTTGATATAATATTTTGTTAATACAATACATTTGATATAATACAATTTGATATTAAGAGAGGGACATAAATTTAATGTGGTTTTTTTTTTAAATATGATATAATGAGTATGGAACAACTCACTTTTTGGATGTAATATATTTAATAGAATTGTAACAGATTTATCAAGTTTGATATCTTTACAATATTCTAATTTGTATCTCATTTTAGTCGAACTAGTTAAATCTAAATTACTACCTTTTTGTGTTAAGACTTTGGCTATGATATGGACTATTCTTGAATTTTTACTAATATTTCATATTTTATTTGGCCAGTGGTAGTGACTATTCGTTTGTTGAGGGGCTATTAGGTCCCATTGTATCTGTACACCATCCACTACCACTGTTATTTGGCTTTGCATTATATGTAAACTGTTTATACACATATACCTATATACATTTTTTATAAATATATTTATTGTTGCTATTTTTAGTTTTATTTCAGTTCTACTAACCAGTATATAACATAGCAAAACAAGATTATTATTTAGTATTTTTGTATTTCAGAGTATTATCTCCAGATTCATTTGTTACTTCAAAATCTCAACTATCGTTGAGTTGGCGCCCTTCTTTTCTCTTCTTATTGTTCTCTTTCTATAAATTTATTCCCAGTGACCTTCTTCAGTTGTATCACGTTTGATATTACCAGGTCTCATTTCTTTCTTGTTTCATTAGCTCATTATCTCTTGTTATTGTTGTTTATATCTTTAAAGCCACAATCCAGTGCATTGAAGCTAGCCCGAACACTCACTTGAGATTTAGTGTCTCTTTGGCCATTTAAATTTGTTCCTCTGAGCTTAGCCCTATTTTTAGTATTTTCATTACCTCTCTTCCAGTTCTTCTGGAATTATGAAGTCTTACACTTCCAAAAACCCAATACTCCCGGAGTACTGAGCGTTTCAACCAGTCGATAAACCCTTTAGAACCTTCAAATATATTTGTTGTAAAAACAACCTATTTATGAAATGGTAATGGTAATATAGTCATTTTATCATCTTGTGCGCTCAGTTCGTCAGCTCTCGTGTTAATGTGTTTGAGACCCTCTTAATCTTTCTCCACCCCACGTTATATAGCTTAGGACAGTGCGAATTTTCCTCTCAGTAAGTAAAGATTGGGTGTATTGTCGATCCCGAAAAGTGTGTGAAGCGTGAATAATAGATGCGCTAATGGAAAAATCGGTGTTTTATGTTAAACCGCATACCAGTTCTGTTTCTCTCAATACTGTAGCGTAATAATATTTTTCTACTCTCTTACTAGTAAATTGTATATTACCTACTATTTGGATGCTAAGTAAATGCATCATAACAGATACTGACACGTAATGACTAGCACGTAATAAAAAAAATTACGCTTCAGTTTTATAAAAATGTGTAATATCACATAGGCCACGTAAGTCAGTTGGTCGAGTTACCATGGAAACGAATTAACAGACGTTATTTTAACAGATTAAAAGTTAGTAATCTGTCAGTGTAAATATAGTGGTAATTTAATTTTTATTTTTATAAATGAAAATAATGGTAGAAAAAGTATAGTACACAACTTGAGTTGTAAGCTTATTACATGCTTGTAAAATTACTGCACTCGCCGCTACGCGGCTCGCGCGCAACTTTTTTACTCGCATGTAATAAGCTTCTTACAACTCTCGTTATGTAATATACTATTGTATAATTATTTTTAGTATTATCAGAGTTGCGATAATTATCAATGTAGAATCAGTTCTTAAACTTACACTTATCAGTGTAGAATCCTTAAGTTCACTATAAATAAATCAAAGGAAAAATACGTCTTAAATGTTTTATTGCTTCAGTGGTCCTTAATAAATATTTTGAAGCGATTAGGTTTTTAACTACGCCTCTCGAAAATGTGGAAAGTTTGGTAATAAATTTATCCTCTCCACCAATATGTAATAGTATATTACATAACGAGAGTTGTAAGAAGCTTATTACATGTGAGTAAAAAAGTTGCGCGCGAGCCGCGTAGCGGCGAGCGTAGTAATTTTACAAGCATGTAATAAGCTTACAACTCAAGTTGTGTACTATACTTTTTCTACCATTATTTTCGTTTATAAAAATAAAAATTAAATTACCACTATATTTACACTGACAGATTAATAATTTTTAATCTGTCAAAATAACGTCTGTTAATTCGTTTCCATGGTAACTCGACCAACTGACTTACGAGGCCTATGTGATATATTACACATTTTTATAAAACTGAAGCGTATTTTTTTTTATTACGTGCTAGTCATTACGTGTCAGTATCTGTTATGATGCATTTACTTAGCATTCAAATAGTAGGTAATATACAATTTACTAGTAAGAGAGTAGAAAAAAGATTTTTACGTGAAATCAATGATTTTTCCTGAAACTGGAAAAAACTGGCAAATTGCAATCAAGCTGTGGGAGTATATCAGAATTCTGAAAATATAGTGGACAGAACACGTCACAAAAAAAGAGGTTCTGAGATGGATAAATAAAGAAATGGACATTTTAAATACAATTAAAACAAAAAAATTAGAATATCTCGGACACATTACACGTGTAGAGAAATACATTTTGCTCCAACTGATTATGGATGGAAAGACCCAAGGAAAGAAAAGATAGGGAGGCGTAGAATGTCATGGCCGCGCAACCTGAGAGAGTGGTGCCCTATCCAATTAGTGGATATTGGCGGCAATTCTGGAATACTCCTCTCGATCTTGTGTAGCTCTAAAAAGTGCATGGGCATCGAGATTTGTCCAATCCCTTATGTTTTTAAGCCATGAATATTTCTTTCTTCCGATGCCTCGTTTTTCCTCTATCTTCCCTTTCGTAATAAGCTTTAAGAACTGGTACTTGAATTTCGAAATATATAACCCAGATAAGCAGTTTTTTCTTCTTTTTATTATTGGCAGCAATTCTCGTTCTCTGCCCATTCGATTTAATACTTCGACATTTGCTGTGTAATCTGTCCAGGGAATTTTAAGTAGTCTTCTAAATACCCACATTTCAAAGGCATCCAATCAGTTCATCACATTGGCCTTTATGGTCCAGATTTCTACACCATACAGCAGTATGGAGCAAATGTAACATTTTACAATGCGAGCATTTCACAGCCGTCTTAAAAGTCCTAATAGCTATGATGATCGCCGACCTCCGCCGCGGAGATGGCACTTGAAAGAAGAATGATTTTTCAAAGATATACTGATATATCTTGGCGCCGTCCATTGGTTTGTCTGATTTAATGGAATAAATTGAGAATGCAGTTATTTTTTTTATTTCGTCGTGCTAAGGTCTACATTGTTTTTTAAATGCGAACAGACATCCCTTGGTTTTTTTTAAATCAGTTGTGTCAGTTTTGATGGTGTTCAGATATATTTGACATATTGTCTGGCTAATGAATAATTCAATCCATTAAATTTATAATACAAACTACAACAACTTTGTCCCTTAATTTTATACCTTTTTTTATTAAATTTCGCCTCATTTTAAATCTTATCATATGCCTTAATTATTATCTCAGAACTACCTCATTGAATACTTTGATACTTTGATACTTTGATACTTATTGTACGAGTATGTCTACATTTCAGAAACTCTTAGAAAACATCCACCTACTCCAAATCTTCCAAGAAAATGTACTAAAGATTATACCGTTCCTGGAACTAGTGTAACGATTAAAAAGGGAATGCAAGTTATTATTCCAATACTGGCTATTCAGAATGATCCAGATGTTTATCCAGATCCTGAAAAATTTGATCCGGATCGGTTTACAGATGAAAATAAAGCCAAAAGACACCCAGCAGCATTCTTAACATTTGGGGAGGGTCCTCGATATTGCTTAGGTAATTATAATATATTATTCTTCAGAAGAATTATATTTTTAAATATAAACTCGATAAACAAATAGTAGAAAAAAATTAAATAACAAACTTGAGAAATAATTATTACCAGCATAAGCCCTAGTAAGATTCTAAAACTATTTTCTTATTTAGATTCAGATTTTTTATTAATAATAAACTTAAATTATAAATGGAATAAACCAAAATTTTTATTGAATATGGAAAAGTTATAGCTAACATTTCAATATTCTCCTTAGAAATTATTGAGATAAAACGTTGATTATAAAATAGTTTTAAGTTAATTACTATTTAAATGGGAATAAGTCACAATTAAAGGTTAAAGTAACTTTATTGACGTTTCAATTTCCACTTCGGAAATCGTTATCAAAATACAAACATTAGTATTGATATGTGGGATGAATATGGCGAATCACTACTCTAATGTGATAAATAAGAACCTACTTTTATGAGCTATAATTCTGCTTTCACTTGTCTTTTTTTATAAGCTACATTTTTGCTAAAAATAATTTGGTCGATAAATACTTAATTTTTGAGTTATTTGTAAAAAATTGTCTGACAACATGGTTTTTACTTAGAAAATAGTACATTGTTTACCGGGTAGGAAAAGCTTAACATTCCTGGACGACTGTGAAGATTGCTAAGTCGAGGCGCAAGCCGAGACTTAGCAACACAGAGTCCAGTAATGTGGCTTTTCCTACGAGGTAAACATACTATTTTTCCGCAAATCGTTTAAAATTCGACAGATATTGATTGATTTAAAAAAAAACGCGATAATTTTATTCCCAAATAAATTGTGCTTTGAAATTCCTAATAAAATTACTTGAGTTACTATGGAAACGTATTGAAGTTGAATTGTCAAACTTGACGCTTATAAATTTAATTGCTGGTGTTCTCGAAAGTAAAATGATAAGTGATGATGAAATTTCCATTCCTGGGACTCCTCCAGAGCTGGTTGAGGCAGTGAATACTGCTTCATTAGAATTATTGCCAAAGAAATCAAGAGAAAAGTACGAAAATGCATACAGACGTTTTATGGATTATCGCATGAGTAAAAATACGAGTTCTTTCTCAGAAAATGTTGTAATGGCATACTTCCTAGACCTTTGTTTAAAGATGAAATCTTCAACATTATGGGCCAATTATTCAATGCTGAAGTCAACCCTTGCACTTAAACACAATGTAGGTATATCTACATACTCAAAACTTCGTTCTTTATTGAAACGGCAAGCTCAAGGTTATAGGGCAAAGAAATCTAAGATTTTAACGAAGGAAGAAATTGAAAAATTTATCCAGGAAGCTCCAGATAAAGAAAATTTAATGATTAAGGTAATTTACAAAGTTTTAATTTCTATTTAGATTATAGCTTTATTTATTTTTTAGGTGGCTGTAATATTTGGTATTTCTGGGGCCTGTAGAATGGATGAGTTAGTCCGAATGACTGTACACGATATAGAAGACTTAGAATCTAAGCTTTTAATCAGCATACCTGATTCGAAAACCAACAAACCAAGATCATTTGTAATTAATCAGATCTACTTGAATGTTTATCGAAAGTATGTTTCGTTAAGACCAGAAAATATGAACAGTGACCGATTTTTCTTTAAATATCAAAGCGGAAAGGGTTGTAGACAAGTGGTAGGAATTCATCAATTTAGAAAAATGCTCAAAATAATTGCTACTTATTTGAACTTGGTAAATCCGACAGAATATACTGGTCACTGCTTTCGTCGGTCTTCTGCAACAATATTGGTTGACTCTGGTGCCGACATAACTAGTTTAAAGAGGCATGGCGGATGGAAGTCATCAAACGTTGCTGAAGGATATATCGAAGAATCGCTTAATAATAAGGTTGAGGTGGCAAATAAAATTTTCACAGTACAAAATATTCAACAAAATGACACTTCCACCCTGCATGTTGTCCAAAATGTTTCTCATAGTTCTAAGAGTGTTCCTCCAATGTTCAATAATTGTACTAACTGTCAAATTACTGTAAATATAACAAATTGATCTTAAAAATGTATTCAGCAATGACTTGATGTTTTCAAAATATAAATTAATTCCTTATAAGCAATGTGTTTTCTATCATTTATGTAGAACACTAACAACTGTACGGAAATATCATTTCCTTACAGTAAGGAAGTCCTGACTTTTTCTTCAAGAAATTTTGACAGAAATGTCAAAATTTCCTGGCGATTTGCGGAAAATAAACATTTTTACTAGGACATTAACACAAAAATATTAAACTTATGTGAAAAAATTCAAATTAGTCAATTTATACATACCTGAACTTATTTTGAACGTGTTTTTTCATCACCGAAAAGGGGTGTATTCCAGAAACTCAAGCCCAAAAGTGAAGTAGAGGCAAGAAGAACCTTCTTCTTTACGTGCCATCTCCCGACGGTGGTTGGCAATCATGTCTATTCTGATCTTAGATGCTGCTGCTCTGAATAGTTCAATTGATGGGTGAGTTTTTGCAAAAAAAAAAAAGTATCAATTGATGTGCATCCGTTACCATCCCCATCAAGCTACGCAACCATGAGATTCTTCTTCTTCCTACACTTCTCTTACCCTGGATTTTCCTTGTATAATCAAATTGAAGTAGTTGTATATCTCTTTACGCATAACATGCCCCTAGGTATTACAAGCTTTCGTGTCTTGACGGTTTCCAATATTTCCATTCTTTTGTTGATTCTTCTCATGACTTCGTTGTTTGTTACATGCTCGTCCATGATATCTTCAGGATTCTTCTATAATCCGTATTTTCAAATGCTTCCAACTTTTTAGCAGTCGACGCGTTAAGTGTCCATGCTTCAATCCCATAAAGCAGACTCGAGACAAATATAACATCTTGCCAGCCTAACTCTCCAGTCCAATTTAGTTCTTTTGCACAGAGTACCTTTTCTCATTTTATGAATTTGTACGTGCTTTCTCTATTCGAACTTTAATTTCTTTGGACTAATCGTTTGTGTGATTATTATTGTGCCAAGATAGTGTAGTTTTCCAACTTGTTCTAAGCACTACCGTTAATTGTCAGGCTTCACCATTATTTTGGTTTTGATACCTCATAAATTTGGTTTCTTGGTGTTTATTGATAATCCATATCCTTCTCCATACTTAACTTTCTTCTTCATTAGCTTTTGGAGGCCTTGGAGTGTTGTCTGCTATATGATAGTATCGTCCTTATATATAATGCTATTAATTGGTGTTCCATTGACCTCGATTCCTGCTGTTTCTCCTCAAGAGCTCTTTTCAAATTTCTTCAGATATGCGTTGAATAGTAGTGGTGACAATACAGACCCGTGTCGCACTTTTCTTTTAACTTCGAACTCTTCTAATGTGTGTTAATTAATGCGTACGTGTGCCTGCTCTTTATAATATAGATTTGTTATAATTCGAAAGGGTCATTGTGTTGTAGTTGTTTTGCTTTGAGGATGTCCATTAGCTCTTTGTGGCAGACTTTGTCGAAAGCTTTGTTGTAGACTGTGAAACAGACGTACATATCTTGGTTGAACATCCAAGCATCTCTGGATTAGTACGTGAATTCTAAAGAGAGCTTAACGAGTACCTACGCTATTCGGAATCAAATTGAGTTTCTTCAATACATATCATATTTTGAAATGCGTTATCGAATGATCTTTAAAACAATTAAGTGTATAAAAAAGGTTAACGCATATTTATTAATAACATAGGTATGCCGATGAACATGCCATAGTGGCAGCATAACATCGAAGATCTTCAATGCCTTTTAAATGATCTAACTCTTGCAAGTGAGCTCGGGTTGAAATAAATATCAAGAAGACAAAAACAATGATTATAAGTAGAAATGATTACCCCAACGCAAAGATATATGTCTCTGGAGAAGAAATCGAACAAGTCAGGCAATTCACATACTTGGGATGTTTGCTGAATGAGAGTTGGGACCCGAGAATGAAATAAAGAGCAGAGTTGAACAAGCCAGAAATGCTTTTTTGAGCTTCGTAAGTTCTGACGATCGCAAATTGGACTTCAACCTCGATACAAGATGCTTAAGTGTATACGTGTGGCCTGTTCTCCTGTATGGAATGGAGTATGGACGTTAAAGGCCAGTTCCATTAACAAATTGAAGTGTTTGAAATGTGGGTGCCTGCGTCGAATGCTCAGAATATCATGGACGGACCAGGGTCCGAAATGAGGAAGTACACAGAAGCGCGGGCTTACAGGATAGGGAACTTTTAATTATGTAAAAAGTAAGAAGACTGCATACTTGGGGCACATATACGAGGAGAACAGATACACTTTTCAGCAACTGATACTCTGAAGGAAGATAGAGGGTAGAGAGGTTCGGACGTAAAAAAATGTCATGACTGCACAATATTCGACAATGGACAGGAATTCCACAGCTATGAAATGCTTCGCAATGCGCTAAAAACAGAATTATTTAATCCAATATTTAACATCTCACCTGAAAGACGAATGTACGTGTGGTACCCTACGCAGAAATGCACGGCCTTAAGAAGAAGAAGTGTATGAGACATCGGTTTATGTTACGGTGGTCGGTGCATTCTCTAGCATTTTTCTTTTTTGGGAGACAAATAAATGTTGAGGTCAACCATTCGTTGGGTATGTCACCCGATTGATAAATTTTATTAAAAAGCTTTAAGAGGACATCATTTAAAATGACTACTCGAATTCTGTCAGACAATAACCTGGTGATTATGAACACACACTTCCAACATAAAAAGATACACAAGATCACAAGAGAAGTCAAATCAAGAGATGAACAATCAATTATAGACTATACTATAGTGCAAAAAACAAAGAAGAACTGGATAAGAGACGTAAGGGTGAAAAGGAGTTATGAAATTGGTAGTGACCACTATCTACAAGAAACCACATTCAAATGCAAAAGAAAAGAAATAAAAAGAAATGAGAACATAAACAAAAAACACAAAGAAATAATAAAAATTTATAAACTAAGGAAGAAACAACGAAGATAAGATACT